ATTTTCAAGAGATTGGCATTCACATGCCTGGACAAGAAAGCTCTTAACTCTTCTCCATGGGTGTCTAATAATTTGAGCCACCAATGCAATATTCCGGACGCAGTAGAAAAAGGCGATTATCATGCCCTTCTCTGCAAGTCTCATTTCTCTCCACATGATTTTAGGTGGGGGTCTTTTTTTTGCAGCATACTTCGTATTTCCCAAATGCTTAACCATTGGTAAAAAAGGTAGAGAAAATTAATAAATCAATTAATTAATTTGGTAAAGGAGGCTTCAATGGATGTAGATTTTTGAATGGTTATGGTCACGACGGGGTGAACAGTCAAGATCTACTTTACACTTCATTGAAAGGTGGTATTTTGACGAGGCAGCTTTGTCATCTGAGATCAATTTCACGAACACTTCTGCTAAGTGACTTTAGCAAACTGGTTTTCTCTATTGTTGTATCTATTACACGTCCCAAAGGGCCTCTCTTTGTTGCCAAGAGACTAGCTGCCTTGACTGCTTCCTTCAGAACTGAATAATGGCTGCCAATTGGCTCCTACACCCTATGTTCCAATTACCACAACTTATAACACTATGACAACAAGTGTACCTCTTCATTTAGTTACAAGTTGTGCACACTTCCTCACACTACAGGGGAGCTCACCTGCCCGACAGCCACCTGTCACATTCATTGTAGCCTCAGAATGCAGTATATCCAAAGTGGTACCAACTAAGTTAGCCCTCATTATAGCCGCCTCCCAGCCTGTCCTAGCTCCTCCCCACACCATGTAGCACTTCCAGAGTTTACAGAGGATGATGATTTACAAGACACAGTCTACACATATGCCTTGCGTTGTCTTTGTTTTTGCGCAATTGTAATCAGAATTAGCCAACTCTGTGGACTGTTGCTTTGCACTCTGCCCATAAACAATAGAGTACTGTTGTTTGTTATACCTCTACTTCATGAGGCATGGCATAGTTGTAGTTGGGTGATTTTGTCCCATATACTGAAAGAGAAGGACTTTGAGTAACTGATTTCTATTGTGTTTACTTGGAAAGAAAGTTTTCCTTCTGCCATAGCATACCTTGCATTCAAAATTGTTGGACACTAACAGGGAATGATATAATATCTAAAAAAAAAGGCACATGATGAGTACTGTGTTGCCAAGCAGCTAACTCCTATGTGCTACCTAGCCAACCTCTACATATTACATCCAACAGCTACAAAAAAACAAAGTTGCATATCAGATACAGTAGTATTTTGCTGGAGTGCAAGTGACATTACTTGGGCGGCTCTATGTCCCAGGGGCCAAGATGTTCATTGCAACCACAACTGATGTCCTGGCAATCCAAAATGACGTAACAGGACTCTACTGTTTTCAGATGCAAGATTGCATTTCATTCACATCATGGTATAGTCCTGTCTGAAAACCCTACGTACCCCTCATAGCAACTGCACTACACTACAAATAATGATATTGACCACAACAAAAAAAAGATATGAGCACAATTTTAAAATAGATAATAATAGAAATAGAAAAAAACAGTTTCCCGATGCTACCATTTTGTATGGCTTCCATCTGTGTCTAATACAGCCCAAAGTCTCTCAGGCATCCTCTAAATCCATCAATCAAATGTTACCTGGGTAATGAGGTCCCACTCTTCCTTTGCTGCCTGAAATAATCCAGCACCACTATGGGGCCTTCTCTCAACTTTGGAGCATCACTTTCTGAGTGCTCTTTTGAGATTTGCCCAGGCATTCTCCATAGGATTGAGATCTGGTGAGTTGGGAGGCCAAGCCAATCTTTAATATCTACAGTCCTCTTGCAATTTTTTGTTTTCTGCTCCATTATACCATGATGCATTATCAGCAGCCATATAGATGGTTTGAGAAGCTCTATCTATGGCATCTATGAAGAGGATGAGGTAGGGTTGGTGAATCTCAGTTGCATATTGGTGGGAATTGAGATCAAGTCTGTCTCTTGTACTGGTCCTTTCCTCCTCAGTCCTCTTCCTTATAAGAATGAGCTCAGTCCTCCTTCAATACATCATTGCAGTATATACACCTATGTTGGTGCGCCCTGACTTAAAGGCTTGGTTTTAAGTTCTTTTCTTCCCACTCTTCACCTGGTTTAAGTCTGACCTTTCTTCCTACTGGATCTGGATCATATTCAATTTTGGCTTCATCCACAAAAACCACCCATTTCCAAGCTCTTGTCCAGTTCCTCCTCAATGTAGCAAACTTCTTTCTCTTCTCCTTCTCCCCATTTTTTTCTTCAAAAAGGGTTCTTCTTAGGTATCCTAAGCTTAAAACCAGCTTCTTTAGATATCTTGCTAATAGTATCTTTGCCAAGTCCAATATTGGCTTTTTGAGTAATGTCTCTTATGGCTAAATAAGGCTCAGCATCAATAATATCAAGAATTACTTGCCTTTTAGCACCAGTAATCTTGGTTGGTCTGCCAGATCTGGGGGTATCATGGGTGTTTCCATCTTTGGATTTCGTATTTTTAACTACTATTGAAAAGTTGACTTGGAGAAGTTCATAAGCTTTGAAATTTTACCATACTTCATGTGAGTATGTTTATAGTGGGCATAGAGTTCCCTTTTCTGGTCTTCTCTGATAGTTTGGGAATATGGTGGTGGCATGGTAGGAGGTGATATTGAGGTGATCGTTGGTTGCGGTGTTGTCAATAATTTAGGTGCATAGACTTTTTAGATACGACTGTACCTAATTGCTGGCATTAGTCTTTTTAGTTTACTGGTTTTTCTTTTACCTACACTGATTTAGGCCCCAGAGAGGTTTCCAGTCTACACAGCTAGTACTGGGAGTACTACTATACTTGATGTGATGTAGAAATTTTAAAATAAATTAATTGGAAAAAATAAATAAGAAGAAATAAAAAGGAAATGAAAATTTATATCATATACATAGGATAATTTAAAAAAGATTGTATCTTACTACCACTGGCTTTTATATTATACTTAGTTTTCGTTATTATAATAAAAACTAAATAAACCCCATTTACAGCTAACCCAATTCTGAGTCGCCGGGTTTATATAAGACATGCGGTAGTAAGGCATCTGCGGTAAAAGTATAAGAATACTTCATAATTGAAGAACCCGAATGCCAATCACAGAAAACAACAATAACTCATTATAGTACCCACAGCGTTAAGGACATTATTGACCTTTAATTTTAATCAAATACCTTGTTATAGCCTAAAACCAAAATCTATTTTAGCCAGAAAAATCATTCCTACTTGTTAAATAATATATCCTAATCATACCTGTTCATATATAAAAAAGGTTTATAGAACTATCCTTCTTCTATAACTATTGTATACTATTTGCAGATAATAAGAACCTACCACCACCTTCTTAGCATGAAGTAGAAGCTGTCATTCAATTTTTCCAATAAACAATCCATGACAGGATCCAGAATTAAATCAAGATTCGTGTTATAAAAGTTAGTAGAACCAGTTTGAGACTGTTTGAGGTTCATCATTAGCTAGCACTTGAAGTAACATTAAATAAGGAGTTTGTAGTTAAGTAAGAGGCTGGGAAAGCAGTGATATAAGTGTGGTTTTAGAGGTTCTTAGTTCTTAACTTTTCAATAGTTTATTCCAATATGCTTCTAAATACATTTTCCTTCTGCAATGAATAATTTTATGATTTCCTACAATATTATTATATTGAACTTTAATTTGCAACTTCTAAAGCTCAAAAGATTCCTGTAGTATACCAACCTCTTATTGTTAATTAAATTCACTTCAATAAATGTCATTCTTAACCTAAGCCCAACCGCAGCCTTTCTTGAGTTCATCAAATCCTAATCCATATAGCAACTATTTACTCTGCACTTATATTACAAATCCGGATGTTACCCTACTGCCTTTCAAGTATCTCTCAGGCTAAACGTAGAATCTAATTGGTACTAGAACTATTTGGGTTAAAGAGATAATATCATGGTAGGATAAGTGTTAGACGATACTAATCTTTGGCATCTTTGTAAATAGTATTAATCATATCCCATCTATGATAGTTTTTCAGAGAACTGGTCTTTTTCTATATCAGCAGAAGTGATGCTATGATCCTCATATTCCTGTTTTGTCCAATACTGCTATTTATAGTAATGAACTCCTTTTTTTTCCTATATTGTCATTTTTCTTATACTGGTGCTTGATGGCCAACTTTCTCTATTTGTGATTGATGCAGTAGGGTTCTGTGGAGTATGTGCTGCATTATAAAAAATTTGATTAACCTGATATTACTCCATCCATCATCTCAAATGGTTTTACTGGTATTGTACAATGTTTAGATATTTCTGTCAACTATTCATTTAACGACATTCTATAAGATCTCACAGAAACGGGAATTGTGTCACTGGAATGCAATGGGTAGGACAGATTGTCTATGGGAGACAGAAGGTTCTCTACCATCTGGTATGTTGGCAAAGCTTGAGCTTAATTCATAGGAAATATTGTGGGAAAAATGATAATTTAGGACTAATTCTGAAACTTGGACCTCGTCTACTGATTGATAGCTTACGAGATCACGAGTTACAAATAAAAGGATTCACACCTGATAAAATGGGAATTGCGGATCGCTATATTGAGGGACTAGTGGCAGGTAGTAATAGTATTGAGGATGAAGAGGAAGTAGGTAATCATGTGGTAGATTTTGTCTACACTGAAGGAGTTGTATAGAAACAAAATCTGTCTACCTTGAAACAGAGGGGAACCGACTATTATACTGTTAGAGTTTTAGATTTTCTTTCATGTTATCATAATATCTCAGAAATTGGTTTTACTATTTCTTAATTTCCTGGTGGTAGTCTGAATTCATCGTTTATCTATTCTAAATTTCATCTTATCCTACAGCCTCCCCTGTCGGGGACGTAAACTGGCGCCTAGGTCTCCTTGCGCGAACCCTCTATTAGAAGCCTCCACCAAACCCACAGATCAAAAACCCAATCCGCCACCATTCCCACCTCCGTACAATCAAACCCACGGTCATGTCAACTGACCAACCACACTCCTCCACCGAACAAGACACTGGTCTGCTCCCCCGAGCCCAACTTCTGGCCGAAAATCTGCAGGCAGTCCTTCAGCGCATCAGCTCCGTCGCTCATTCTCCCAATTCGGTTTGTTCCATCTTCCCTCGTTCATTTTTAGCAATTAGCAAAGGTCCGTTCGGCCCACACCTACTGATTGGTTGATGATTTATAGGTTCGGTTGGTAGCAGTATCAAAATTGAAACCTGCCACCGATGTTTTAGCAATACACGAGCGGACGGGGCACACACATTTTGGGGAGAACTATTCGCACGGTCTGATATCCTTTATACGATACCAAGCAGGGATAATAGGTGAGAGGTTAATGGATTCTTCACCACAACAGAACTCCTAGAGAAGGCAGCTAGCCTACCGACCGCTCTCAATTGGCACTTCATCGGCGCCCTCCAAACGAACAAATGCAAACATCTAGCTGAGAGGATTCCGAACCTCTGGGCCGTCGAGTCCGTCGACACTGTTAAAAAGGCCGACGCATTAGAAAAGGGCCGCGCCGCCTTACTTTCCACATCCCCCTCCACCCCAAAGCTTCGGGTCTACGTCCAAGTCAACACTTCCGGTCCTCCCCCTCTGATAAACAACACAAGTGGTTGGGGCTAAATTATCCTTCAGGTGAAGAATCCAAATCCGGCTGCCAACCCACGGCTGCCCCAGTATTAGCAAAGCATATTCTTGAAGAGTGTAAGCATTTAACCTTACAGGGATTAATGACCATCGGTGCCATCGCAAGATCCCGAGAGTCGGATATTCCGAACGAGGATTTTTTGACGCTGAAGAGGGTGAGGGATGAGGTTGCGCAGAGGGTTGGCATAGACTCGGATCAATTGGAGTTGAGTATGGGAATGAGTGAGGATTTTGAGCAGGCGGTCAGCTTAGGCACTTCAAACGTTCGGTACGATCATTTTTATTCCTCCCTTTCCTTTCTTTTCTTTTCTTTTCTTCCCGGTGTCGATGGAAAATTGGCGGAGGAATTGCTAATTCTTACGATACCTGTAGGGTCGGGACGATCATTTTTGGGCAGAGACCTCTGAAGAAGGATGCCGCTATTTAGGGTCAAGCCAGTGAACCTATGGCTTGAATAGGCTTACTTGGGTACCTGGCCTAAACTATATTCCCGAACTCGAGGACCTAGTATTAGGATGTCGAAGATATAGCACCACGCTTAATGCCCGCCTACCCTCAATCCTTACTACCCAGCGTAAAAAATCTCTGAGGTGCTCACCGGCTTGAATTAAATAAACAAACAGTTAATCCAATCTACATGTGAAATGGCCAAAGGTAAATTAATTATAACCCTAATTAACCGGCGATTGCTGCCGAGATTCCCCCTTTCCCCCGCTCCTTGAGCTGAGGTACTATTGTAAATAGGCATAATCCCTCCCTCACATCCCGTCGCCATCCGCTCTTAGTCTCATGCCCAGGCACCAACCCCAGTGAAATACCCCCACACACGGATCCCCTCGTCACACCATTGAACGTAGACCAAGAAAAATCTATAAAGCAAAATTCCAGCGCCGGGTCTCAAACAAATTGACTGAGGACGCTGCAAACGAAAAAGCAGAGGAAAAGGTGGAGGAAAAAGTGCTGACTATTCATTTAAATATTGTTCTCAATTCCCATTACTATAGTCCGGTAGCGGCGATCCCAACGATAATTTGTCCTCCATAACCCTGAGCATTGGCGGAGGCACCCCCTCGTCTGTTGCTCGGATGGTGAGTCGGTACATCTGGGATCGTTAGTTGTGGGGTGAAGCTTCGTGAGTATGGGGGGAGCAATACCTTAGTCTCCAAATTTGGCTCCAACCTCAATAGACAGCCAAACTTTCCACCAGTAGTGTGTAATACGCTTGCTCCGACAAAATTCTTCCCGTTAGGATCCACACCATCTAATACACCCCAGCGGAAACCCTCAAGGACCTTCCTGGTTCTCGATAGCTCAATCGTGTGACCCTTAACCGCTATTCCGAATACTTTCTGGGCCTCACGAGCCCCGCCAATCTGCTTCCACCTCTTGAAAAAGTCCTCAGACGACAGGTCCGCCGGCTCCATGAACTTTGTAAGAATCACAGGCAGTTTGAGAGTCAGAGCTTGTAATGCACCAGCGAGGTAAGAAATGCGTATTGTTGGTGCCTCGGGGAAGACGCCTGTACTTTCTAACATTAGGGTCTGTTGAATCTGGCCGTCCGCGGGGACAATAGGATCGGGCGTGTTTTGCGTGATAATGGTTACTAGTCCGGGGGAGTTATTATTAATTGTAGCTGTAAAAGATCCAATTGCTACGGAAGATTTGTTGGTATAGTATAGGATCACACATCCCATGTTAGTGCGGTATTCTGACCTTAGTCCTACTTGAATCTGCACATCCTCGTATAAAACGCCTTCTGAGCGAATCACTAGGCGATTATAGCCAAGATGCCAATCAGGGCTCAGGTGGGTGGCGCTTGCAAGGTTGATGGCTGCCTTCTTCGGAGGTTCACCATTCAGATCCAAACCGGCGAGCTCCTGGGCTGGAGCAAGCACCGCAGTCTTTGCAAGGCTCGTCAAGCCTCCGTCGCTTGCAGTGGGGGTCGCTGCGCCATTCGTGAAGGGCCGCTTAAGCCCAGTGTTGAGAGTAAGGGCGAATTCCTTTTTGTCAGCGTTTGCATCCTTACCTCCGATGACCCACGTCCGTTTATCGCTCGTTCCGGCATGTTTCTGGTGAAGTCGAGACAAAAGCGCTGATGTTCGCTCCGGAAATGGTGGCATCTCGTCGCATACAGTACGTAACAGATCATCAGACGGAAGTGATGCGAGCGCTAAGTACTCACAAGCACGCTGCTGAAGCTCTGGGTCGAGTGTGTGGCTGTAAGCGTTGAATATTTGAATCAGCTGGGGTTTTATTTCGGGGAACAGGTTTATGAATTTGATGTAAGTTGATAAAAGGATCGCTCGGGTGGCAGAGGAACATCCATTAAACTTCGACTGAAGGGCCATGAACTGTTCAATCGGGCTACAGCCCGGGTTATCGGCTATCAAATGACCAAACTCCCCCAATAGGTAACCTCCAATCTTGACCAAAGTTTCGTGACACTGCATTCCCTTGACGTGCTGTAAGATATTCTGGGCAGCATACACCTGTAGCTCCTCATTGTTGGTGACGATCTGGATCACCCGTTGCCATACCTCATCACTCACATGATCACCGGCCATGCTGATCAGCCTCAGGGAGATATCAACATACCAGCGAAACTCGGTAGCATATTTCTCTGTGAGGATTGCAATTTTGAGTACCATTTCTTCTCGGATTGCAAAATCGGCACTCTGCAGGTATTTCAACAATTCGGACACGATGGGTTGAGAGTTGGTTGGGTCGCACATGCTATAAAGGAGATCCAATGCCTTTCTTCGCACACTAATATCACGATCTCGAAGAGAAGCTATAATTGTACTCTGGTGTTTTTTAATTGGCTCTAGAGTCTCCGATCGAGCCGCAAGATGTGTCATTGCTTCAAGTCCAAGATATCGCACGTTGGTCTCCTTCGAAACAATAAATCTTCCTAAACGCACAGCGATTTGCGTCATGAGACCGGTTTCTGAGTCTAGGTGAATTGCAAGGTTGATAGCCTCGAATAGAACAGCATTCTGCGCATTATTCTGCTGCACATTTTTCGGGGCATCGGAAGCCGTATCAAGAATTCTTTGCAAAGACTCCCGAATCATATTTTGGGTATTTATATCATCTATAAGACGGTTTAGCATGTGACAGACGATATTGGGTGAGAATAATACCCGATGGGGGATAATATTGCAACAAGCGCAAAAGCTTGACCTGAATCCATGGACATGGAACCTTGTAGTAGACATAATCGGGCGTGTACTCATTATCGACAACCACCCGCTTTAACCTATGTGCTGCCTTGACATAGCTGCCTTTATACACATCAGGGTTGTCCTGAACCGAAGCCATTACAAGAGAAGTGACCGAAAGAGCAACACCAAGATCAGGGTCATCCATCAATGAGATTATCCGCTCGGCCCATTCGTTTTGGATGATGCCAGGATATTTCCGGTAAAGCCGGAGAAGCGTTAACGCCGCTTTCTTTTTGACAAATGATTTCGATGTCCTATCCCCTCTAAATTAGCTTGATTAGGGCCGCCTTATCGGGAGGAAAAGCTTACGGCGAGATCAACAATCGATGAACGTCAGGACTCAATGCTTCTCCCATCTCACGACCACCAACATTTGCAATGGCATGCAGGGCTAGGCAGTTATTCAACTCATTGTGGTCCAGCAAATCCTTCTTTATGCTATTCACCACCAAGTGTAAGAAATCGTGTTTCTCGTTGAGGAACAGAGTGACGGCAAGGTATCCGATTTGTTTCTCGGAGTACTTCGTAGCGGATATCAAGTTAACAGCCTCCAAGTGGCCGAAATCGACATTCCATCCAAGGATGTAGATGTAGAGGAGCTAACTGGTTAGAGCTAGGCGCAGTCGAGGAACTTATAAACATAGCACCCTACCTTGCAAACATATTTCTTCTTGTGATACCCATTCAAATTACCATCTTTAGAATACGTTAGCCACCCTCGCTAAGCATTGGATTCAATTGCCTGCCTTTGAATTTTTGCCTTCGAGGTCATTAGTAACAGCTAGTAGAAGGTAGCAATCGTAGACTAACCGTATATTCGCCAATTCTTTGTTTATCCGTTTCTCTTCCAATTCTCTGGCTCGGGCATTCCTTAAATCGGCAATAAATTGCACCAAACCTAACTCCTATTCTTCAGCAGCTAACTCCGCAATGGTTGCCAATGGAACGTACCGCGCATAGACGACATCTCGGTGGACGCCCAAAGAGCAGGAAGTAATCGGGGGAATTAGAATGGCTAGGGCACTGGGCACTCCGGGGTGTTTCGGATGTTTGACTCGGTTGACCGTGTCCAGCTTGGGATCCAATTTCGGCCCAAGGCTTTGGGAAGTAAGCGGCCTTCGGTAGGTTACTGAAAATAGCTTCCAGCGATCTCCAGGGGTGATGCAATTTGTCCGGGCAAGTAGTTCTCTGTCTCGGTCTCAACAACACGCTCAGAGTATCTGATGGGGGCGGCCACGATATCAACAGAAGGAAGGAGAAGTGGAGCGTGGTGCGGCCGGGGCAAGGCATGCAGAATACTAAGGTTCGAAGGTTGAGAAGAGGGTAACTCAAGCTCCCAATCCGGGGTGGAGCTTTAGCGGACCACTGCACACGGCTGGTGACGCCTGTCTGCTACCGGTAGTGGATGCAGGATTTCTCGTCATGAAGGGAGTACTGCAGCTTTAGTCTTCCCGGCCCGCCAGACTTGCATACTCCAGGTGCAAAGAAAACCACACATTAGACTACCTTCCGAGCTCAGTAAGTTGAGGTAGCATTACTGACGATCCAAAGTAGGGTAACCGTCACGTTTGCAGAGACTGATTCTCCATGCACCATTATGCAAGCTATAGAGTACCGTAAAAACTCAAATAGAAGAAACATGTGCTAAGGGGTTGAATTAAGCTCAACCCCTAGAAAATGGGGCGAAGTCGTAAGCTGTCAAGTTATAACTAGTTTAAGACATATGCTTTGACCTTCAAATTCAACCTCAACTCATCGCTTTCAGAGTCATGATATTGTTAATAGCCGATAAGATTAATAAATATCATAGGAGTCATAAAAAATGTAAATAAATAATATTGTAAACAAAGAAAATACTGAACGACTTCTACATTGTAATAAATTACAAGCAGCATACTTCTTAGATCAACTACTCAAATATGATAATAAACAAAATAGTGCGCCAAAGCCAGAGAAGTAAAGGTAGCATCCATTCTAAGATTACAGTTGTGCTTCGAGAGCTTCTGGCCGGCAGGTTTTATACCCCACAGCGACAAAATCGAGAACCAAAGTGGCAGCTAGTGAGCAAAAGACCTCGGACAGCTCCTCAGAAGGTACAGAACTACCGCAAGTCCTATACCATCAACTACAAGCTGTGAGTCCTGTTTGGCTGCAAACAGCTTTGATTCCCAGTGAACCCAGCAAGTTTCGAGAGCCTACCATGCGGGAGGTGGCTGAACGATTTAAGATCCCATTTGGGAATCTTGGAAGATAGCAGCATGAGGAAAAGGCAGGTAGTTATTAAGAGACATCAGCAAGTTCTCATAGAATAGAGGGGGGAGGAAGGAGAAGGAAAGGAGTCAATATGGAGTGATAATTATATGAATGTTTTTGCCAACGTCGAGCAAAGGTAAGGTTGTACGACAGAGTTGGTTTTGCCAGAATATGCATCGTTTATATACAGAAACCTATTCTAATACAAGAGTTAGTCAATTTCGCTTTTCAAATGGGTAGTTTCAGGGTTTTTTTACCTTGGTACAAGATTACTCTATGTGTAATAACTAATAAGGCCAGTCAGCTACCTATCAATTATATTGAAGCATTAGTAAACTGGATGAAGCTTAATTGGAAAAACTCACAACTACGACTACAAAATCCATCTACCCTTTCCTGATACCCCTGAGGAGGTTGGTTGTTAATGATTAAGCAATATCTGTACTATGGACCAAACTCCTCTACCATTCAAATACCTTAGCGGTGGAACCTATAATCAGCAGGTCGAGAAAACAATTTGGGTACAAGGAAGTCAGCAGTCTGGTTGGGAAAAAAGACAGGCAACAATTCAACTTACCATCTTCGCTAATGTGGTCCCTTGGGTCAAACCTCTTGTGTTTTTTCGTGGTTTGGGGATAGGGCCAACAATCGTAGCTGAAAAGGCACTATATGACCCCCAGGCTGTGGTCAAGTTCAAATCCAAAGCCTATGCTAATTCAGCAAATATTGTTGAATAGCTTGATGAGCAGGTGATACCTGTACTTGGTGGCCGGCCAACAACTCATGGCCCTTGACATGTTCGGTAGTCACAAAACTGATGAAGTTTTGGATACCATACAAGCCCACAATATCATCTTAAGTGTGATACTAGGGGGCTGTACCAGCATGGTTCAGCCCCTTGACATATCTATCAATTGGCCCTATAAAGTTATTTTAAAGGTTAGTATCGCTAATATTTTATGTGAAAATCAAAGAGAAGGAGGTACTCATCAATATAGTTACTAACTCTCCTTTACTCATAGGAGGTTGTCAAAGAAAAGGTTGACAAGATAGAGGTTGAGGAAGAGCGGATGTTAGCGGAAGGAGGTCGACTGCAGGGAAGTATGGTGAGGAGGAGAAGGGTTCTTTGTACCTGGGCTATCGGTGAGGCTTGGGAAAGGTTCACAATAAACCAGACCTGTGTTGTTGAATGGGCGTTCACAGCAGTTGGCCTCTCGCGTCCTATAGATGGAAGTCGAGATTCCAAAATCTCCATCAAGGGTCTTGACACTTCCTTGTTTGATGATGAGGCCAAGGACTGGGCAGATAGGGCAATGGTAGCTAGTGGGATGGTTGAGGAGGATGAGAATCGAGAGGAGGAACAAGATCAAGCTCCAGAGTTGGACGTTGAGCATGATGAACTTGATGGAGAATATATCATTGGTGATACTGACTGAAAAAAAAAGAAACCTTTATTTTTAGAATTTATATGTCTCATACTTTGTAATTTGTATTGACGTGATTATTCTAGATTCTTGGTATGACTAACTTTAAAACTACTCCAAAGCACATGTTTCTTTTATTTGAGTTTTTACAGTATCTCTAGTTCTCACACTCCTTCGCTTTGACCACGATTTTATTCCTTTGACCCTGTTCAAGAGGTGCTGAAACGCGGGGTATGAAGGTTGAAACTGTGGGTTTGGATCAAACCTGTAGTTTGGAAAATAGTTGAGGCAGAATCTGGTAAGCTAGTAGAGAGTGTGTTTATGCCAAAATCACAAAATATCAGTTGTGAACAGAATTCAAAGTTAATATAATTATTTGCAACACAAGTGGTTCACAATTTCAGAGTAAGGTCTACATTGTATCCAGTATCATAATACCAGATTTCCACTTCTGTCTATGCTACACCTGTGGTGATTGAAATTTATTTCCTATTTGCAAATACCTTAATATCACAGCCTTTTTCACTACTTTTCATGTCTGATTCCTCTCTTAATAAGCGGACTGGGCTAATACTTTTCATCTTCCAATTACATTAAAATACTGCTCCAGCCTCCTCTTTTGAAGGCTACACTCTTCAGACTCTCTTACTTCTTCCAACCTTTCATGATGTTGGTCTTCATTTCTACTCTT